CTGTTTTTTGTCCAGCAAGGGCCTTCCCCTTTTCACAGGGTTTGATATTGACCGATATTTTTTTGTTGGTGGGTTCACCGGTGGCATTCCAACTCCCACCAATTTCAGCTTCTGTACGCACAGTGGAGACCTCTGCGCAAGCGTCCAAGCGTCACGGTACTTGACCTTATCAAAAAGCTCCCTATAGGAGCCTCTCGGCATCGTTTTTGCACCGGAGCCTTCAGCTTCACGCATCTGAGTGAGGGTTCTCACCGCCTCTCTTCCAGCTTCCTTGCTTCCAGAAGATTGTTGTACCCGTACAGATGCATCGGAAGGGACTGCTTTTTCTGGTCCCTCCGGACGATATCGGACGCCTCCCACCAATCGTAGGATTTTGCACGCTGTCACCTTGTTGATCCCTTTTTCAAGCAGATCTTCCACAAAGATGAACTCCTGCAGGTCCGACACGGTGCTCACACCAAGAGTAATCATCACCTCACTTACATGAGGGGTATACACCCAAAGGTGGTTATTGCGAGCCATCCAATTTTCAATTGGCTCCTCTGGATCTTGAAGCAGAGTACCAGTGGACTCAGCCACCGAATTCTTTTGTTCATCAGCCTCTTCTTCATCCAGAATACCCTTTTCACCATCTTTTTGTGACACATTGGTCATTTGCAGCGCTTTTGGTGCTGAGGAGGACGAAGATTCTGCTCCCCCACTTACCGGTGGTTGAAAAGCGTTCCTGTCGGGAATCTCCAATCCTCTTCCCCTTTGAAATGACACATGGTTCGCCACATTCACCAGATGCTTCAATTGGGTCAGCCGGTCTTCAGACATCTCTTCGTGAGAATACTTGCAGCCAAATCGCACACGACATCTCCCTTTGAGATAGTAGTCGAAACAGCAATGGTGGAACCCCGCGTCCCTTAGTGCCTTCCTGGAAGCATTGTCCCAAGATTTGCCAGGCTCCCAAGTCCCTTCCAATGCCATGTCATCGTCGTGGAGATACCTGCACGCAGTCCCATATTTACAACCACCTTGATTGTAATACAGACACAGCCGTTTCTTCGTTTCACCCAGCGTAGGCTCACCTTTTGATGTCCCTTTGCCATAGTTGTACTGGGCACGGAAGGCCGAATCCTCCCGCTCCTGCTGCACCTCATCCACTGTACCTTCATCAGTTGGAGGGCCACCGATGTCCCCATCCTCGTCACCAGCTTTTTGGCTGTTCTTTGGCTCAGTTGGCTCTCCTTCAGGCCACCCTTCACCGTAACGACGACGTTCATAGGAACACCCATCTCCATTTCGACACCTCCCTTGATTGAAGAACTTGCACAGCTTGCTGTATCCAGGTGACACAGTCTTCGGAGTCGTGTGAGCCTTTTTGTACTGATCAGGATCCATGTAGGCTTCCATTGGCCTGTTTTCCCTCTTACTCATCTCCTCGATTGCACCATCAAGCTCTTGCAGAAATCGCTTGGTATCCAACCACAGCTCGTTCCAAAGCTCATCTTTCCCTTTGCTCAGCAACATTGCCACCATTTCACCCACGACTGGTCCACTAAATCTCCTTTTCTTGCGTGCCAGTTCGTAGAGCGCGTTGTGGTACTGCTTCCGGGAAAAAGTGGCAAACCTGCACGTTCTGTCTCCTCAGGCTTCCAACCATCACTTAGCAAGATGTTGTATGCCCTCCGAGCCTCAATGTTCAGGAATGCATGATCTGCGATACACTCCACAATCACGTCCATTGGACGACTCAGCAACATCCCCGTGATTTTGCCCACATAGTCATTATCTATTGTTTCATCTTCCAGGAGATTTTGATAGATCTTTTCTCCATAGAGCTGTTTCTGCTCAGCCTCCTCTTGTTCCTTAGAGGATGCTTTTGACTCGGCAAACCACTCGCGAGACTGCTGTTCTTCCGACTTCCAGTCCCATTGACCATCGGAACCTTTGTACCATTGACCAGTCTGCCATGAGCCTGTCCACCATGTACCCCAGCCGCTGTCCTTCCATTTGCGCAGCGTTGAAGAGGAATCCTCCTCGTCCTCTTCCAAAACCAGAAAGGTGTCCAAGATTATGGTACCATCATCTTCCACTCGTTTCACTGTTCCATTGACAGTATCACCAAATTTGAACTGATGTACATTGTTCCCTTCTGCAGGAACCAATACATTCATATCACCATGGTCCAAAAAGGCTCCATACCCATTGATGCAGCGCACTAGACCAATGATCTCATCTCCCTCCTGATAGCAATGTTCCCCAGGTGATTCCAAAGCTCCCGCTCGAGGCACTCTCTTTGCATGCCCTTCAGAAACCATCTCCGTATCATCGGCTCCTGACACATCCTTTATTTCCACCTTTGGGTCACACTGCTCGTCCTGCTCCGACGTGAGTCCCACAAGATCATCCATCTTGTGCTCCAAGGGCTCAGGATCTTCCTTTTTTCCAGCCAATGGCTTTGCCTCATCCGTTACAGTTCGCTCGGTGTCGACTTCCGGCGAGCTTTCAGATGGCAACACCTCTCCCTTCCTGGGAGTGGACCCACCATTGGAGTCCTTTTTCAAACCTTCTGCAGCAGGCAAATTTTCTTCCACTACAGGGCTATTGGATTGGTCATCCGCGGTAGGCACATTTTCTTCCACCGCAGGCTCCTTTGGCTCCATGGTTTCCAAAAGAGAATCACCGTTGTTGCTGACCACAGCTGCCTCATTGGCTCCGGTGTAGCCTTCGCCATTTCGTTCCTCGCTGCTAACTTCAGGCTGCACCAGTGCGTCCACCTGTGAACCTCCATCGTCAGCTGCTACAGAGACCTGCGCCCCATTGTTGCAGTCATCCGCGGAACGTGACACCATATGCGCCTCAACCCGAGCTTTTTCTGCACTCCAGGTACTATCTGGCGCGTTGACCCGCGCTTCATTGGCGCTCCAGGCCTCATCTTTCCGATCACCCGTGTCTCCAGCAGTTTCAGAAGTTTCCTTTTCCCTTTGAATGGCAGAATTCTCGGCACCAAACGAAGAGTCCTCCTCAGTCGTAATGCACAACTTTTTCCCTTCGTCATCCAAATCTCCAGGGCCATCTTCCTGAACGACAGGCACCACATCCACCACTCGCTCTTCTGCAGCCGACACAATTCCGATCTCCACATTGGGCATTTTTTCTTCTGGACCCACCGATTCCACCGCTGCCACACCCTCAGAAAGCGCCTCCATCTCTTCCCGATCCAGATGTTGAGCTTCAGCGATGTCTGCTCGGTTTCCAGAAATCCCCTCTTCATCAGGAGAACCCGAGGTCGGGGCGTCACCACCAGCCCTAGGACCGCTATCCCTGATAGTAGAGGAAAAATCTTTTTCACCTACACTATTTACACTACCCTGGATTGCCTTCGTAGACTCAGATGTCGGTGTAGTCGATGAAGGACCCAGTTCAGTCTCCACTTCCAGCCCATTGCCCGAAGGAGACCCAACCACGTTGTCGCTTTTCACCTTTTCCCCTACATCCGGCAGCGTCCACTTGCTTTCCTGCGTATCCAGGCAGTAGTAATACTGTCTCCCATCTTCGTGGAAGTGCCATTCCCACGTTGTCCCATCGCACGCTTCGATCAGATGCTCATCTTTCCGAAAACCATCCCTTTCAGAGACTTGACGCATCTCATCCTCTTCTTCTGACAACTGGCGCAACCTTTCAGCCTCCATCTGTAAGATCTCCTCTTCCCCCATGGCATATTCAGCAGTTGGCGCGGCTTCAAAGCTGTCCGCACCCTTCTGTTCGTAACCGCTTCCACCACCCAGGGAACTCGCCGAGGGATCCCCTTTAATCTTGTTCAGAGGCCTCCTGGCAGCTTGCAGCACTTCTCCACTCAGATTGGTCTGAGACCCTTGGTCAATCATTCGGCCCGAAGTCGAAGTAGACGGCTGGTACCCATGTTTGTGCAACACGCGTAAAACAGTCACCTCCATTTCACGGTCTATACCACCAGTCGCGTCCCAGCTCCTTTTTTCACCAGGCTTTGGCGATACAGAAACAGCACGTCCTTAAGCTTCAGCATTGCTAACCATATCCACATTGGGATTTATACCCACATTGGAGTATTCTGCAACCAAGGCTTCTTCCAGATGTTCTTCAGCGCCAGGCATCACCTCTTCCAGCACCGTCCTTTCACCCAGAGACTCAGCTGCACCGTTTCCAGCTCCACCATTCTGTCCACCATCCGAGGAAGGCTGGAGCCATCGTTTGGGAGAAGGCATTGCTTCTTAATCCCAAAAACCTTGAAAGAACACTTAACCGCAGGGAACCTAATTTGGGCTCATAACCTACGGGGGGACAACCAGGGAAGGAATCCACACCCTTACCAAACCCTAAGAACCCAGGCACTACTTTTTGAACTTGTGGCTTTCTGTTCAAGCCCATCTTGAGCCAAACATGTTATCCGGGTTCATTAACCCTTCCAACTCTCAACACTAACTCTTTTCTACAATACCAGTTGCAGCTCCGCACCCTAAACCCTAACCCTAAACCCTAAACCCTAAACCCTAAACCCTAAACCCTAAACCCTAAACCCTAAACCCTAAACCCTAAACCCTAAACCCTAAACCCTAAACCCTACTTAAAACAACCCCTGATTTCAGGGCGCCTTCGAGGAGGATGGCCAGAGCGAGTCAAACTTCTCAAGCATGTCGCGGTTTGGAGGCAGAGTTGGGGGCGGTTTAGGGTTTAGGGTTTAGGGTTAAGGGTTTAGGCTTTCGGGTTTAGGGTTTAGAGAAGGTTTTGAGGCTAGTCAGGGCCTACCTAGAGTCTGCTGGCTTATAAAGCTTAATTTAGAGTAACCTACGCACCCTGAAACAGGGAAGCCTGCCCACCAGTTAAGGCAGAACACAAAACGTGCGAGGCTATCGAGGTTGCTCGATGTAGGGTTTATTGCAAAGCTTCCTGGCTCGGTGTCTAGAGAAACAGGAGGTGGGGGCTATAGGCTTTTGGGGAACGTTCTTTGCTATGCGCTGAAGGCGTCCTTTCAGATGACCTACAAAACGAATGTGGTTGCTGTTTTACCTCACTTCTGTTGAGGGGATGCGTTCAACATTGTATGAAGGCCGGGCCTCAATTTTTTAACAGCACCCCCCCCCCCCCCCCGCGGAGCGTGGTCGCTGGCGCCGAGAGAAGGCCGAACGTGAACGGCTGGAATATGAGGTGGAGCTTCTGCAGGAGGAGATCACTACTTTCGAGGGATCGCAGTGGGCCCGGGAGGTGGAGCTGCAGGAAGCTGCCAAGGCGATGGAGGAGCAGTGCGTGGCAAGGCTCAGCGCGGTATACGCGGAGGTCAACCAAAAAGTTGATGAGCTGAAGCGGGGGCACTCCTCATATGTGGCGGCTTGGACTCACAAGACATGTTGGATGACGAATAAATAGGGGAGGGGGCCGAGGGTTCAAATTGCAGTTCTCATGCGCCTTTTCATTGACAAATTCAGGCCTCTAGCAGTGAAAATTTCAGCCGCTTCCTGAAGCTTTTGGACCGGGCGAAGGAGACGCTATTCCTGCGACTGACGGCTAGGTCCTCCCGTTCATATCGACTAACGGCACCTACATTTAACGAACTGAACCATTTGTACCTTTCGGGGCCCCCAAGATCTAAATTCTCAGCTGCCTTCAAAGGCTTCTACGCGGTCTAGCAAGGGTGCTCAAACTCAGACGGTCGCACGAAGGCTTCACACCTCGGAGGCCAAATCCTAAGTTTGGGGTTTAGGAGGGTTTAGTAGGGTTTAGGGTTTGGGGTGTAGGGTTTAGGGCTTAGGGCTGACAAGCGTGGATTTCTTCACTGTGTTGGGTTTCGGGCTCTTGGGGGCGTCGCTGAACTGTAGACCGCAGACCTGTTACCTGCAGCCGCCCCTGACCCTGAACCTCCAAGGAAGCAGCCCGAACCTCCTGAAGCCCATACCCCGAGCCCCAATCCCTAAAACCCTAAACCCTAAACCCTAAACCCCAAACCCCTAAACCCTAAACCCTACCGACAAGACTCCTAGCCCAAGCTGTTTGCAGGTAGCCGCCTGCTTGTGGAGGTGGCGAGCGGCAGCGAGAGTAGCGAGGACCTGCAAAGTGGTACATGCTGGGGGACGTTTAGGCTCTAAACCCTAAACCCTAAACCCTTTTGTTTCGGTCTTTACGGGGTTTTGGGTCTTATGGTTAGCGACTTAGCGCTTTTGGGCCTTCGACTTCCACAAGGAACTCGTGATCCCCAAGCACCACAAGTTCCCGGCGATTGACACCTCAAACCTCACCCGAAGCCCTAGCCCTAAACCCTAGCCCTAAACCCTTAACCCTTAAACCCCAAAGCCTCTCAATCATGAACCCCAGCATAGGCTTAGGATAAAAGTTATAGGGTTTAGGGCGGGGGGGGGGCGTGCCCTGAATGCAAAGGCTTCATGGTTATCGTCTCGAATATTTATGATAGAAATTGCAGTAATCATATGAAGAATCAGCACGCCCTGGCACAGTAGGCATGTCGGCATCACATTAAAACCGCACACTCCATGAGCAAGCCCCCATGAGCCTGGAGGTTTCTAAGCCCCGAATAAATCCTATACCTTAGTAGCTGAATGAGTACACTTCACACTTTTTGGGATGCGATAATCCCCTTTTGAACTGACAGTGTACACTTTCTTGGGAGGCTTATGAGCTGAGCAACTAAGGTCTTCGTTTTGGTAACTACCCTAAACCCTAAACCCTAAACCCTATAATAGAGTGTCCTAAGTATGCCACAAAGCCTCCCCAGCATCTTACGCTGGAGGACGAGTCTCCGGGCTCCCAGGACTGAAGACTGTTCTGTCAGCTTTCTCAGGGGTTTTGGGGTTTTAGGGTTTAGGGTTTGGGGTTCAGGGTTTAGGGTTTAGGGTTTAGGGTTTAGGGTTCAATCTTATTGCCCTTATAATCCCCTATATCATCCTGATAAAGCCTTTAAAAATATTTTTTATAGGGCCCCCCCCCCCCCCCCCCAAGGCCCCCAAACCTACCCCAGTTCTGGTTCCAGTTCTTGCAGCGTTTCTTAGCTGAAGGCATGGGTGGTCGGATGCCGTGTCTTTGCTAAAGTTGCCATAGCACCTGCAGTCCTGGGATGGTCCCCCTTATACTAGGAGTCCTTAACAGGGATTCTAATAGGGGGGTACTATAAGCCCATTAAGGACTCTTAGTATACGGGGGGAACATCCCAACTGCAGTTCATCCCGCCGCGCGCAGCTATGATCTGCTCCATATTGTAGGCCAGCCTATTGACGACGGAGAATCCCACCCCAAAACTGGCCACACACACACATCTCGCACAGAACCGACACGATGGCTGAGCTAAGCAGGGACAACACGCAGCAGTCATCTCTCCCAACATCCCCTTGGAAGCGCATACGTCGCGCGCTGCCCTTCGAGCTGTTTACGACAAGCCTCTTGGCTGCAAGCGTGTCCGCAACAGGTTGGGATGGAGTCAGGGCCTTAGGATCCCGGGGGCTTGTCAAGAACGTAGAGCAAGCCGACAGTGGTAAGAGTGGTAGTGAAGGTCTAGAGGTAAGACTAAGAATGACTGGAATTACAAGGGTTTTTGGTTCTTTCCGAAAGCAATAGCAGTAGTAGCAGTAGTAGCACCGGTAGCAGTAGTAGTAGCAGTAGCAGCTTTAGCAGCAGCAGCAGCAGCAGCAGCAGCAGCAGCTTTGGCGGCAGCAGCAGCAGCAGCAGCAGCAGCAGCAGCAGCAGCAGCAGCAGCAGCAGCAGGAGGAGCAGGAGTAGCAGTCGTCGTCGTCCTCCTCCTCCTCCTCCTCCTCCTCCTCCTCCTCCTCATTCTCCCTCCTCGTCGTCGTCGTTGTCGTCGTTGTCGTCGCCGTCAGGAGTAGGAGTAGGAGTAGAAGTAGGAGTAAGAGTAGGAGTAGGAACAGGAGTAGGAGTACGTAGGAGGAGCAGTAGTAGGAGGAGGAGAAGTAGGAGTAGGAGTAGGAGTAGGTAGGAATAGGAGCAGGAGCAGGAGCAGGAGCAGGAGCAGGAGCAGTAGTAGTAGTCGTCGTCGTCGTAGCAGTTGCAGTAGCAGTAGCAGTAGCAGTAGCAGCAGCAGCAGAATTAGTAGGAGCAGGAGTAGGAGTAGCAGTAGGAGTTGGAGTTGGAGTTGGAGTAAGAGTGGCAGTAGCAGTGGCAGTGGCAGTAGCAGTAGCATTGGCCGTAGCAGTAGCAGTAACAGTAGCAGTAGCAGTAGCAGTGACTATCAGTTTCAACAATAATGCAGTCATCTTGATCAGAGCGCTCGTTGTTTGTGTCGGCCTCTGTGAGAGTAACAGGAGGACCTTACATGCACGGCACGTGCTGTGAGATGGCAGGCTTTGCGCAGTTCGGGTAAACCGCGATGTCTCAGACGCTTCGCGTGGGCCTCTGCACCCATAGCCTAAACACACATCCGATCCCGCTTGTTTGGAACGATGCCAAGTGCCTGAGTGCTTTTTTCTTTCCTTGCAAGAAGGCCCTGTCGTGCCAATGGCCTCCGGGCTCGATGACAGCCTGCAGGACATCGGAATAACGTGGTGGTGGGACCTTCAGTGAATGGTCATAAGAAGATACCATCATATGGCAGTATACAAACATGAGAATGAAATTTGATATTGATACCAGAATGCAAGTTTATGAGAGTGTGATCGCGTAATGAGATCATAAGGTAGTGAGATAAGAGTATAGGCTTTTTTTCATGTAATAATGTATGCGTGTAATAAGATCATAAGATAATGACATAATAAAGTAAGCATAACATTTTTTTGAATATTAGAATCATTTATTAATTGAACATTTCGTGGCTAGCCAAGCCTTAATGCCCTAACCAGTTTACTCAGTCCCGCAGGACGTGCGGCGGGCCCTTCACAAAGTCTTGGAGGACAGGTGTTGCTTGTTCATGGGCTAGCCTGTGGAGCAATGAGGTTTATTGGGAGATCAGTCGGGCCCCGAGGAGGTTTCTCAAGCATGTCTTCGAGTAATAAATGACGGAGGCTGATTCGAAAGAGTGGCAATGCATGTAGCCCACGCCGACGCACGGCCCATCCTGACCGTCTGCACGTTGCACGTCTTGGAAGGTTCTACACAGGAAGGTGAGGTAAAAGCAACTCGAATTTCGAGATGAATGTCTATATGTATATATGTACATGCATACAGATGTATTATTCTATTCCATTCGCCGGTGCGATTTTGCTCACGCCTCTCGAAGCGTGCCCAGAGACTCCAAACTCTCAAGCGCAGCCCTTGAGAAGCCCTGACTTCAGTTCCTATTTCCCAATGTCTCATGTCCTAAACACTATTTCGCAACTCCCAAGCCCCTAAGACAAAGTAAATAGAAATCACATGTGATGTCGTTCTGAATGTTCACAGTTGTTTGTCTAAAAAACAACATGGCACGGCGCAACCCGCAACCCCCCGTCCCATCAATAAATGCTCCAAAACCCGAGCTTCAGTAAACTGATCCAAAACATCCCTGGAGGCCAAATATTCAAATAACTTAGCGTATCAATTTGGCAGCGTAGCATCTGGATTTGCAAAGTCTTTTGGCTCAACATGTCGGCACTGTGTAAAGATCGGCCTCAAAATCCCACAAAACCCGAAACCCTAAACATTGAACCCTAAGCCCGAAACCTTAAACATTAACCCTACACCCGAAACCCTAAACATTAAACCCTAAACCCGAAACCCTAAACATTAAACCCTAAACCCGAAACCCTAAACATTAAACCCTAATCCCCGGAAAGGGGGAGTCCAAAAAGCTCCCCAGAAGGCCCTGCGGGAGTGTTGAGGGTTTAGGGCTTAGGGACCCTGTAATGCGGTGAATTGTTTTTTACATCGATGTAAGCAACAATTCACAGCATTACAGAAAACCTAAAACGGACAAGACATGTGCGAACCTAAGTCAAAACTCGGCCCGCTAAAACCAAAACCCTATTAAACCCCAAACCCAAAACCCTAAACCCTAAACCCTAAACCCTAAACCCTAAACCCTATACGCAAGGAAGAGTCCCACCTGCTCATGACCCAGCTCCGCGGGGAGATCGCCGCGGAGCTCCGGGCGCTCCACAGAGCCCCGGTTGTTGATTTAGGGTTTAGGGTTTAGGGTTTAGGGTTTAGGGTTTCGGGTTTCGGGTTTCGGGTTTGAGGTTTGGGGGTTTGGGCTTTAGGGTTTTCGGGTTTAGGGTTTAGGGCTTTTGGGTTTGCGGGTCTGGGGTGCTTGGGGCTTGGGGCTTGGCGTTTTGGGCTTGGGGCTTAGGGCCTGCGATTAGGGTTTAGGGTTATTCGGGTAACATGAACTTCTATACTTTGAGGGGCTCCTGAGCTGTGTGGAGTTTTCCCTTGTTGGTTCAGGGCCTTAAGGGTATGTATGTTTTTCTAGGTAGAGGCTACCCTAAACCGTAAACCACTTCTTTTCGTGCTCTAGGAATAGGGCTCGAGGCTTGGGATGTCGAGAGTTTAAAGCTGCTAAGTCATTAGTTCTCAGGGTTTTTTGCTTCTTAGGGCTCAGGGCTCAGGGTTCGAGGGTCTTGTGGATGGTTCGGGGTTTGGGGAGCAAGTGCGGCAAGACCTTCGGATGATGGTACATCATCCCTTATGGGTTTAGTGAGATCTGTTTTGCTATTTCACAGCCACCCTGGCTCAGCGAGATGCCGGGTATGGCTGAGTGTGAGTCCAAATATGTACAGTGTGTGCTTGACTGAAGCTACGCCTGTCATATACTAAAGTTTACTAAAGCCCGGCCCTTCTGTACGGAACCTCTCTCAGGGGGAAAGGCGTCAGCTTTCAGACCAGATTGGACTGATGGATTAGGCTGTCAACGTTTAAGGCTTGCAGGGTTCAGGGGCTGGAGCTCCAGGTTTTGAAAACTTGTGCCTGCAGTGCTATGCGCTTGCTTCACAGGCGAGAACCGGCAAACCTTTCTTTCCAAGTCGTCAAACCCTAAAGCCTAAACCCTAAACCCTGAACCCTTAAACTAGCAATGGTGGGAAACCCCAATCGCTGAATCCCTGCCCATTAAAAGACCCGAATGCACCCTAAGCCCTAACACCTCAAACATGTAAAACACATGTAAAAAAACCGTAAAACCCCTTAAACCCTAAACCCTAAACGCCCTAAACCCTAAACCCTAAACCCTAAACCCTAAACGCCCTAAGCACCAGACAAGGCCGTGAGTTGGCGAACTTCGGGCTACAGTGTCCTTGCCAGAACGATGACCCAGAGACCCCGAAGACCTCCGAAGTGTTAGGGTTTAGGGTTTAGGGTTTAGGGTTTAGGGTTTCGGGTTTAGGGTTTAGGGTTTAGGGTTTAGGGCTCGGGTTGAGCGCATGAGGATCCCTATCATGATTTGTGATTTGTTCCTGAATTCAGGGGTGCTGAGCTCTTTGGGGAGGAGTTTTCCCTAAATTGAGGATTAAGGACATGGGGGGTACCCTTTTTTGGGGCGTCCCTTTAAGAAGGATTCTATTCTATTTGGGATATAAAAGGGGTACCCCTATTTTGGGAAGTACCCAAATTCAGGATTGGGGAAATTCAGGGTCCCAGTGTGCAGTCAATCGTGGTTAAGATCACGTCGTCCTCTTTTGTGCAGTATCTGTGCCTGTATATTTATCCATTGTGGTTCCCTTCTAATCCCCTTAAAACCGAAAAGGGCACCCTTCGTATTCCTAGGTTACTCCCGGGTCTTTGTTTCTGCCTGATTTCAGCAGAGCGCAGTTAGGGCCTTCCCAGCAAACGTCGTAGGGTCTCCTTATAGGGCGTTTGGCTCCCTAAACCCTAAACCCTAAACCCTAAAAACCCTAAAAACCCTAAAAACCCTAAAAACCCTAAAAACCCTAAAAACCCTAAACCCTAAACTATCTTGGGCTCTTGGACGACACCCCTTATGTAGGGGTCGGAATAGTTACGAACAGTCTTTTATGGTTCCTTTACAATTATACTAGAAGAACCCCCAAAGCCGGATTCTGATTATTGCGTCCCCTATAGCCTGAAAACCCCAAACCCACCTCCCAGAACCCCAAAGACAAAATCATCCAGAAATCCCCAACTCTGAACCCCCAAACCCCGAATCAAACCCTCAACCCTCAAACCTCAACCCTCAACCCTCAACCCTAAACCCTAAACCCTTCGACCCGTAGAAGTTTCCGGGGTGTTAAGGCCAGTGCCGCTCAGGTTAAGACACATGCTATCGGAGGTGCCGACGCACGCGCACCTCGGCGCTGGTCCCACACGGCTGCTTAAAGGATCAGGGGATTTAGCAAGTAGGGTTTGGTTTACGGTTTGCGGTTTAGGGGTTTGGGGTTTAGGGTTTAGGGTTTAGGGTTTAGGGTTTAGGGGTACTTCCCCTAAACCCTAAACTTCTCAGCCCTTTTTTAGAAAGTTCTAAGGGCAGCCCAAGGGAACATTTACAAAAACCCCTAAACCCCAAACCCACGTATCTTTGTAAAGGTGCTACTCAAAGGATCAGGGGACTTGGTAAGTAGGATTATAAATAGGGCAACGATCGTATAGTTACATTTACTTCTAACCTCAGTTAGGGTACTTATAGCCCCACTTACTGAGTCCCATGATCCTCCAAGTGAGGTGTAGGAGATGCACTGTCTAAGCCCCGGAAGGAGTTCAAATAATTTTTTTTAAATGCAAGATATGGGAATTATAAGAATACTATCTTTATTGAGGTCCCCTTGTATCGCCAAAGCGCACGAGTCGTTTAACTCCGGCACAACAACGATAAACCGTCGGCTCACTGGCCCTGGTCTTGCACGTTCAAGCGCTGGTGCCTTGCGTAATATAGGGGCCTGAATAGTTTCAATAGGGTTTGGGGGGGTTATTATAGCATAGTCATATTTTTCTAGGGACCATAAGAGAACACTATGAGCAGTTCTTCCGGCCCCTAGGTATTTTCAAGTTAGTTCGTTGTCAGAAGCTGCCTTCAAGAGTCTGTTCTTAGCATACGCCACTTGTAGCAACAACACATCCGGCAACGTCCTCAAACCACTACAACAAAGCTGGCACAGCAGTTTAGGGTGTAATTTGGGCTTTTTACATTTCAGGTCAGGTGGGGGCGGCGATGAACCTTGACCTTCACCCCTACACCGCATACACCCCAAACCCTGAACTGCATTTGGCATGCGCACTTCTTAGAGATGTTCAGCAGACTCTCTTTTTTTAGAGGCAAGGGTGTACCATAGTTCATAACTGGTGGCGACCCTCTTTGGTGTATTTAGGGTTTAGGGTTTCGGGTTTAGGGCCCCCTCTCTGCTCTATTTTTTGTTGATCCCAGGGTCGCAAAGCCACCCTCTCACCCCCTGGGGATACTGTGGGATGGAGTCTCGAGGTCCTCTTACGACCATAAAGCCTAAACCCTAAACCCCAAACCCTAAACCCTAAACCCGAAACCCTAAACCCTAAACCCTAATCCCTAAACCCTAAACGAATCCCTGGAAACCAAACCCTAAACCGAAACTCTAAGCCCTAAACCCCTTGACGCCCAAAAGTGTAGACCTGGTTTCTTTGCAGCTTTGATGACTCGATCAGTGTTAGGGATCCTTTTTACTTTTTGGGTTATGGGCCTTCTTTTATATGAACAAAAAGGATCCCTTTTTCTTCCTAGGGGAACGGGGATTTAGATGAGGGAGGTATTCCTTGGAGTTACATGGTGTGTGTATATATATATATATATAGACTGCGCGTCCTCTAAGAAGAAGCCCCACCCTAAACCCTAAACCCTAAACCCTAAACCCTAAACCCTAAACCCTAAACCCTAAACCCTAAACCCTAAACCCTAAACCCTAAACCCTAAACCCTAAACCCTAAACCCTAAACCCTAAACCCTAAACCCAGGCCAGCAGAGAAGCCAACGCATAGCGAGGAGGCTCTAGGACCCCTTGCTTCTGGGGTTTTGCAGGGATAGGTATATGGACCCGTAGTTTGTGTAAGGGGAATATAGGAGGTCCCTTTTTAAGGGCCCATATGAAGGGAGCGCTGCCCTTAGAAGGCTGTGAGCTTCTGGAAAAGAAGCTTTCGATTCGAACTTTTCTTAGGGCTTCTTGCTTGTCCCGAATGGTCCCGAGTCAGGTCTCAAAGATGCGTTGCACTTGACTTGGCTCTCATGCCATCCAGGAAGGGATCAGAGTCGTCCTGGCATAAAACCCGAAACACCCCTAAACCCTAAGCCCTAAACCCTAAACCCTAGACCCTAAACCCTAAACCCTAAACCCTAAACCCTAAACCCTAAACCTATTCTGCATCGACCGGAAGCCTCGGGAGTCCTCAGAATGCCCGAGGACCCTTAAAACTGCGAGACCGCAGCTCCAAGAAAGCATCGAATGTATTTTAGGGTTTAAGGTTTAGGGTTTAGGGTTTGGGGTTTAGGGTTTAGGGTTTAGGGTTTAGGGTTTAAGGATATTTACTATTAATTCCCTTATGGCCCCTTTATAGTTATATACTGTAATACCCCCCTATATTACATGTGGAGGAAGTAGTGTCTTATAGTTGGGATCACGGTGTCTATGCCATTTCGGGATTTACGAAAGTTAGGGACCCGTAATATAGTCCCCAAAATAGTAGGATTCCCTTCTCATGAGGACCCCAATAAAGTAAAGTGGTGCCCCCCTAATGTCGGAAACCCCCATTTCCCTCAGAAGGCACGCGAAGCTGTAGATTCGAAGTAGGGTTTATATCTTTTGTAGCCCGAAAAGGACACCCCAAGGTATACACTCACCAATGTGAAAGAAGGAACCTGATATACTATCTTATACACTCACCAAAATCAGTAATAGAAACCCTGCTTCAGATGAAGTGAAGCAACCCTTGCACACCGACGGCGTCCAATGGAAAACGTACGCTGAACCCTACGCCGGAGACCCCAGGTGTAGGGGTTTAGGGGTTTAGGGGTTTAGGGTTTAGGGTTGTCAACCCCTCAACCTTAAACAAGAAACCCCATACCCTAACACCCCCTGCTCCCAGTGGCAGGAGCCAATAAATTATCGCCACCGGACCTCGAATTGCAGGCCAGCGAAATCGCGTTAAGGGTTTATATAGGGCTTAGGGTTTAAGGTTTGCATAGTGTTCGGGATTTAGGGTTTATGTATGGTCCAGGTTTTAGGGTGTGTATAAAGCTTAAGAGCACGGTGCGTAGTGGGGTTTTCTTTTTGGGGTTTGAAGTTTGCAGCTCACTAAGACTTAATGGTTGTTTGGGGTTGAAAAGGGTTCAGGGTTTGCGGAGTGTTCATGTAGGAATATGCCTCTATATATATATATACACATGTATATGACTGTGTAGACCAACGTAAATTTGTACATGCATATAGTGCTTATTTCAGGGTCTGAAATTAAGATTTCTCTGGGGTTCATAGAAGGTTGCTATAACATCTCTTATTTACCCTAAACCTTAAACCCTAAACCCTAAACCCTAAACCTTAAACCGTATAGGGTTTCGGGTTTGGGGCTTTCTAGTGCTTAGGATTCAGGGTATAGGTCCCTACTGCGGTCTGCGTTGGGAATCAAGGGGCTTGTGAGAGTGCAGTAGGGCACATTTCGGCCTTTCTAAGCGACACTGAACCCTGAACCCAAGAGTTTAGGGTTTAGGGTTTAGGGTTTGGGGTTTAGGGTTTAGGGTTTAGGGCCAAGACCCTACACCTGCTTCCAGGTTCCGTGGGCAGGGAGCCTGAACTCCTGATCCCGGTCAGTCTGAAACCTTTGGAAGGTCTGAACCCGGACCCCCCCCATGCACTCCGATGCTTGAGAAACCCCAGCCCTCAACCTAAACCCTAAACCCTAAACCCTAAACCCTAAGCTCGGGGTTGAGGGTTTGGGATGTCGCAGCCGAACGCAGCCAACCCCCCCCCGAACCACAGCATTGCGAACTTTGACAAGCCAGTGAGGCGGCCTCGCAGGAAAGTAGTCCAGCACTCGTTTTTATAGAGTCCCAACCCGAATATTGCGGAAGCAGCCTCAACCCTGAATCTCTGAACCCCGAAGCTCGTAAAAAAAATCTTCATCGCCAAGAACTCCTACAGTGTTCCGAACGGCCTACAGTTTAACGTTTAAGGTAATCCATTGTTATCGCTAAACCCTGAACCCTGAACCCCAAACCCTAAACCCTAAACCCTAAACCCTGAACCCTGAACCCTAAACCCTAAACCCTAGGTTCAGGTGTGACCGTAACAGCCCTAAACCGAAATCTAGCCCTGACCGAGGCTCAGTCCTCAAAGAGTCCGGACCTGTGTGCCGCGCCCACGTTCATCTTTCGTTTAGGGTTTAGGGTTTAGGGTTTAGGGTTTAGGGTTTAGGGTTTAGGGTTTAGGGTTTAGGGTTTAGGGTTTAGGGTTTAGGGTTTAGGTTCTTTCGGGCCTCACATGTCGGAAGGATTCGGCTTCGGCGCCTTAGGGTTTGCATTTGTTGGGTGTTTGGGTGTGGTGCAGTTTGACGCGGTTTGAATCACCCGTATGATTTCCCCTAGAGATTGGGATTTGGGGCGAAGAGCACGATCACCCAGCCCGATCAAGCCTCTAAACCTTGTGGAGATCCTGGTCCCTAAACCCCTGATCAAACACTCTAAACACAAAACCCCTCTTGCACGTGAAGCCCTAATCCTAAACCTTGCGAACCCTGGAAAGCCCAAAGCCTGAAAGCCCTAAACCCCGATCACCCTGAACCCTATACTGCCCCGATTGAGTTTGTCATTAACATTATTTTGTGTTTTTTTGTTTCGTTTTTTTTTTTTTTTTTTCCTGGGGGGGGGGGGGGGGGGGGGGGGGGGGGGGGGGGCTTTGCTTCAGCAGCTGTGGCTTAGGGCTTCTTGGGTTGTATGGCTTTGGGCTCCTTACATAGCTTGATATGGGCACCTAACCCTAAACCCTACGAAACCCGAAAGCCCTAATCCCTAAGCCCCCCGACTTTTTGAGCATAGTCTTAACCTTCGCTAGGTCTAATGCACCTACATGTATGTCCTGTTACGTACATGGTTACCGCATTTCTTCTTTCTGGGGCGGGGGGGGGGGGGGGGGGGGGTTTCTTAAGCAAATGCACGGTGGAGAAGGTAGCCTGCGAAGTCTGAGCAAGCCAGGGCTGGGGTTCTACAAATACGGCCTAGTAAGGCTGCAGCCACTCATACATAAGGCTGCAGCCACTCATACATACATACATACATATATATATATATATATGTATATACATATACATATATATATATATATAAGTATATAAATAAATAAATATATATATATATATATATGTATATGCAGAAACATGTGCTTTTTGTACTATGTATGTCCATCGTGACTTGCCCGATAACCTGGCCACAGCTGCTCCCTGAACCTCCAACGAAGCCCTCACCCCAAACCCTAAACCCTAAACCCCAAACTCGAAATCCCTAAACCCCAAACCCTAACTCCCTAAACCCTAAACCCTAAATCCTCAGAAGCTCTCAGCCCAGAACCATGGTCCTGACACTTGCTTAGGGGCTGGGTAGTGAACCTTAAGCGTTTTCGGTTTTTTTAAGTCCTATTACTAATACAGGGTTAACCTTTTTTGGGCTGGGGTATTCAGCTCCTAAGAACCTATCCTTTTGCAGCGCCCTCCTCAAGCTCCACCGCACTTGCCTCATCGCAAGCTGTAGGGCTGATACCAGGGGGGGTTAGGGGTGCAGGGTTTGGGGGCGAGGGTTGATCCAATCTCTACTGGACGCTGGATATATACGGCTCTGCCCCATAGTGGCAATCCCGAAAGGGACTCGAAGATAGAGATCCGCCCGTATGAGCCCCACATCCCCGAAGCCCTGGTTGAAAAGCCTTGTGGTCCACATGAAAATAAACATAAAAGTTATACATGCCCTACAGATCCTGAACCCTAAACTCTGAACCCTGAACCCTAAACCCTCAACCCTCAACCCTAAACCCTAAACCCTAAACCCTAAACCCTAAACCCTAAACCCTAAACCCTAGCAAAGCCCTGGGCTTGACATACCCAGGTATCGCCACAGAGAGCGATTCGCAAGGCACAGCATCCACGGCCTCAACCACGGTTAAAGAGGCCACAAGGGCTTCGAGATTTTTTATGGCGGATATTTCTAGGTTTAGGGCTGAGGGTTTTAGGGTTTAGGGTTTAGGGTTTAGGGTTTAGGGTTTAGGGTTTACAGTTTAGGGTTGATAAGGCTCAAAAAAGGTATCAAGGTCGAGCTCTTCTGTCTACAAGGGTAGGCGAATTAGGGGGCCTCAGGGCTCTTGGAACGGCAGGCGAGATTTCGTCGCGCCCGTGGTTGAAAATATGTGCCTGCGGGCAGAAACCTACTAGGACCGTTTTCCTTTTTTTCGGGTTGGGGGTTCCCTTATAATCCCCTTAAAAACCAAAAAGGGTACCCTTTTTATTCCTAGGTTACTCCCGGGTCTAGCACATGTAGAGAGGGACCGTTGGACATGCCTGATACACCGTCTCTTTCTCTCTCAGTCTCTCTCTCTCACTCCCTCTCTATCTCTCTCTGTCTCTATCTCTATCCCTCCCTCCCTCCCTCCCTCTCTCTCTCTCTCTCTCTCTCTCTCTCTCTCTTCATATATATATATATATATACACACATATATACACATATATACACATATATACACATCCAGTACAATGGATTTGTAGAAGTTACTAGAGAAATATACACAAAAACATACGCATATATATATATATACACACACACGCTCACACCCCTAGCACCCCGAGACCCCCCGATGCCCACATGCCCACATGCCAGTGTGTGGCATGCAGGTCGTACAACGGGACGAATCGACGGGCGAAGTTCCTGTCACTGCCAAAATGTCCTGCGTGCCGGACTCTTGCACTCGCAGCTGCATCTAACACTCCTAAACCCTAAACCCTAAACCCTAAACCCTAAACCCTAAACCCTAAGCACACCAGTTTCGGGCTTAGGGCTTTTGGCCCACAGGCGCTTCAGCCTCAGGGTTTTACCACCGGCATTGAGCTTTTGTTCACCAAAGTGGTGATCAGGCGCGGGACCATGCTGGGTGCCTGTGGCCCTTCTCAGTCGGGAGTCTCACTGCAGCGAGTGCTTAAACTCAATAACTGACAGTTTGACAGTTTGAATGTCACTTTCAAATGAGACCTTAACATGGTTTTTGCTTTGGTTCTACTGTTAAACACGGAAGGTAACAATCCCATCGGAAACTTGCGGAGTTGGGTGACTAGGTATCGAAGCAAGAAAAAGTTCCCACGCATGTTGTGCCGATGAAACTTGTTACAGTAAACTCCCATGACAGTAAGTCCCATTAGAATCGAGCCTGGCATTCCCCATTCCGCTTAAGTTTTGTTTTGAATCTTGTCACAGGAAATGGCCCGACTTGTAAAAACGCATGAGCTGGTCTACGTACAACTTCGTTGCATGCAAAGACCAAGCTGCACGCGTATCTCAAACCTATACCGACAAAACCTTACTGCTTCCCGATTCCAAGGAAGATAAACAGATTGTAAACAGACAGTCGTACACAGAACCGATTTCAGGTGAAAGTGGATCTGATTAAAGGGAGCTACTTGCAGCCTTTTAAAGGAGAAGTTGGTTCATCATAAACATGCAATCATAAACATGCAACTCGCAGCAATTGAAAGGGGCGGTCGACTCATGGGGGGGGTGTTCCTAGATGGACTGCATGTATATATATATATATGTGTTGAGATTTTAAACATATGAGACGTGTCCCTAAAGTTACCGGATATATATACTGAGTATGGTGACTACAAGCCCCTAAACTTTAACCTCCTAAGTTTGTCACGCCCTGAGGCCCTAAAGGGCCCCTTCGAAACCGCTAAATTTCCTGGATGCTCTCAGGTACCGTGGGCCTAGTCAACCACGAGCTCAGATCACCGCTGAATGGCCTGGCAGGTTACGCCAGGACTTGTTGTGAGGGCGAGGTTCAGCTTCGTAGCCCAGTGGTACCCTTCTCCCTTTTTTTGGTTCAAGGTTCCCTTATAAATTAACCTGCCAAAAAAGGGTGCCCTGATTATATCATGGTTACTGGGGTACCAAGTCAGATGTTCAGGGGCTTGTCTTGTTGGCCTATCTGCGCGCTTAAAGCAATGCGGGAGTGTGCGAAGCGCGCGTGGGTTTTGATGTGAGCATTCCCTGCCCGAAAATATGCACAGCTTGCAAGGACCTTGGCGGAAACTGATGCGAAGTACCAGAAAGAGTTCAGGCTCTTCACAAACACAGCGCAGTTTGCTCTCGAGAACGCTTCTCGCCTTGTTCGTTTTACTTGAAGCTTTTTGTCCTTGTTAGTGCCGTTGAGGTCACCCAAACCCTACACCCTAAACCCTAAATCCTCAACCCTAAAGACCAACTCATCACGCGATATTGCTCCCACCCAAACTTAGGAGTTTCTGAAGGGGTACTCCATTTGTGGGCTCCTTTTAAGGGGCTTCTGTTCTACTTTGGGGTATAAAAGGGCCCTACTTTGGGAAATAATTACGCACTTCACCAGCTTGAAATGGATTCTAGCCAGGAACTGGCAACAGCCATGCACAATATAGGGGTCGGAACAATTACTAGGTAATATTCCCTTATGGTCCCTTTGCATAATTATACTATGATCACCCCCAAAACCCCCTAAACCCTAAACCCTAAACCCTAAACTTTCCCTAAACCCTAAACCCTAAACCCTAAACCCTAAACCCTAAACCCTAAACCCTCCCCCATATTGGCCATGCAGCTGAGGTAACAAACCTGATCGATCTGTGGACCTATGCATGGGCCTGAGCTCAGCCATGCTGGTTGTGAATACGAGTTAGGGTTCAAGGGTTTAAGGGTTTAAGGGTTTAGGGTTTAGAGGTTAGGGTTTAGGGTTCGAGGGCCTGCTCTGGACAGGTTAAACACTGCCCTGGAGCGCGTTCGTCCCTGCGACGTGCCGTTTGTGTTGCGTGATAACACAGATAGAAACGAGCATCTCATGTGACGCGTTCTGCGTGCGAGCGTGCCTGAAACTGTCCCATCAAATTATTATGCCTCTGACCGCGGTTTAGGGTTTAGGGTTAAGGGTTTAGTATTTAGGGTCACTCTGACCATGACTGTGCATCTGATTGCCTCAAACATAAAGAGTCAGTGTGTGCCCTGGACGTGAATGTTGAATGCGTCAGCCTTCCTCAAAGAAACCCTGAAAGACCGTCTTCAGTGTTTTTGAACAACGGCCTCATTCAGTAGCCATCACGTGATCACTTGTGCCACAGAGACTCTGAGAAGTTTGGGTTAACCCTAAACCCTAAACCCTAAACCCTTTACCGTAAGCACCAAATGAACCAAAAGATGGGGATCATACTATTAAGATATATGGGCCCTAAACCCCAAAACCCTGTAAAACCCTGCAAACCTCTAAACCCTCTAAACCCTAAAAGCCGTAGAACCCTTAAGAACAACCCCTTCATGTCGTCTTAGGTAGATGAGCGCGATGTAGGGCACTTGCAAGGAGCCATTGCAATCGTGGCCGTTGCATCACGTCTTCTCTGCCAGTGACCCGAAAGATCTCACCCTAAAAGCCCTAAACCTAAATCCCTAAATTCCCAAAAGGGTTTATGGCAAGTTTAATGGCCCACAGTTTAGGGTGTGTGATCCGCATGTTCCCTAGATGGCTCTTATAAGGAAGAATGTTTTTGGTTTTGTTTTCCATTTTTCGGCTGCTTCTTAAGCAAAGAGCAGCAGTGGCCTTTAGAACCCCGGAGCCCTGAATGGCCCTGAGACCCTTATGGTCCTCATAACCCTTGAAAGCCCAACCCCTTCAACACCGGACCCAAACTCAAAAACCCCAAAACCCTAAACCCTAAACCCTAAACCCCAAACCCGAAACCCTAAAACCCCAAACCCCAAACCCTAACCCTAAACCCTAAACCCTAAGAAGCCTGAAGCCCAACCCAATCAACACTGGAGACCCATGGGGTTTAGATGTGTTTGAGCTCCAGGCAGGCAAGCAGATCAGAAGCAGGGCCGCAAGAAGCTGGGGTTTAGGGTTTAGGGTTTAGGGTTTAGGGTTTAGGGTTTAGGGTTTAGGGTTTAGGGTTTAGGGTTTAGGGTTTAGGGTTTAGGGTTTAGGTTTTAGGGCCCCTGCACCCTAAGGCCTGCTCTTGGGCTGTTGTAGTAGCTAGCATTGTTAGCTGCCACCCTCCCTTTCTCTCCCACTCCCCCCGGTCCTCCTGAAAAAATAGCAACAACAAGATCAGAAGATACTTGGCCCCCTGGTTCTTAGCAGGGACTGAGGGAATTAGGGCCCTTTTTTCTACCCTTTGAGGGATTATCTAGCGTGCCTCATTCCTTCATTGCCTACTAAGAACTAGCCAATTCGTGCTCTTGATGGCAACACCCTAAACTGAACCCTAAACCCTCTCGCAAAGCCCACCAACACCGAATCTGCCTTGCTCGGCGGTGCTGGTCCTTTCCTCTTTCACCTTATAAGGGTAATACGGGGATTACTATTTGTTTTACGTTTTATCTACTACTTGCTTAAGAACCCCCCCCCCAACAAATGAAACAATATTCTTCCTCATAAGGGTAATATAGGGATTATTATTGTTTTTATGTTTGGGGGTTCTTAAGCGACTAGTAGTAATCAGGTGCAAACGCGTCACGTCGGAGAGACTCAAGTGCAATGCAAACAGGATGGAACCTGCAACCTTTATGCGTGATGTTCAGGTCACTTAGTTTAGGGAACTTCCTTCGTGCAAGAACTCTCGGGCGGACCCCAGGCAAAGACGAAAACACCCGAAACGATGAGGTTAAACTGCCACCGGAGACGTGTCACAAGCAGTAGCAACGTTCGTCAAATGCTTTGATCTCATTCACGCTAAGATTCCGAATCCCCTCACGCCTGGAAATGTTGAGGCCGCTAGCATCGTAGGGCCTCACCAACGTGGTGCAGAAGCACCCTAAATCCTAAACCCTAAACCCTAAACCCTAAACCCTAAACCCTAAACCCTAAACCCTAAACCCTAAACCCTAAACCCTAAACCCTAAACCCTAAACAGCAGAAGTGTTTGAGCAGCCATCAGAGCCCCACGAGATCACACTCCACCTTCGGATGAAACTGAAGCTGATGACTGCCCACGACCTTGAGCCCTCAACCCAAACAATATCGACTTGGTAGCCCAGTGGTGCCCTTTACCCTTTTGTTGGGGCTTAGGCTGCCTTATGAGCCCCTTTAAACCGAAAAAGGCACCCTTGTTATTCCTAGGTTACTCTTGGGTCTAGTAGACAATAGAACCTACCTTCTTGGTAACCTCAAGACACCCTCGATTCTCCAGGTGACCTGGTCTCGGTTGGAGTCTCGATTGAGGACCCTGCCCCCATGACATGACCCGCAAAGACTCGGCACCCCCAACTCCAAGACAACTCTCACAAGGACCCAGACTAAGCCCCTAAACCCGAAACCCTAAATCCTAAACCCTGAACCCTGAACCCTGAACCCCGAACCCTGAACCCTGAACCCTGAACCCTAAACTGGCCTAAACGCTAACCCCGTCCCTTTCTGGGGGGGCTACCCTTCTGAGCCCCCAGGGTCAACTCTCACTGGGACCCGGGACCCAGAGCAGGCCCCTTATTCCCATTGTGTGGGGGGCTTAGGTCCCCTTATGTTATAAGCCCCCAAGGGCCCGGAACTGGGGTTAGGGTTCAGGGTGTAGGGTGTAGGGTTTAGGGTTCAGGGTTTTACGTCCGTTTATGTCATGTGACCACAGGACATAAACGACCTCACCGAGGAGCGTCTTAGCAGGTCGACGACCAGGAAGGGCCTCTCGGTGACTATACGTTTAGGGTTTAGGGCTTAGGGTTTAGGGTTTAGGGTTGTGTTCACAACGCGTGTGGTGAGGGAAAGCCTCGGAGAGAATCTGCGGCAGCCCACCTGAGATGTAAGGGGAGTTTCATGGGCCCTTAGCATGGTCCCTTACCTCCTGTAGTAGGTTCTGATATATGGGCCCTTCAGAAACCAACGGTGCGCTTAAAAGCTTGCGCACAAGCTTGCAGCTTCACACCAAATCTGACCAGTTCTCAAAATACTGGTCTCTTGCTGGGCACCCTAAACTGGGTTTTGGAGTACTGTACTTTTTTATTTTGTTTGGTTCTGGGGTCCTATTATAGCTACTTATACCTAAAAAGTATATACTTTTTTTCCAGGGTCTACTCCAAAGGTAGGTAAATAAGAGGGGCCGCCTTGTAATAAGGATCCCAAAACGGGGACGAGCATCTGATGACAAGCTTGGCTCAGGAAAGCCGCTTCTCAAAAGCGCAGTTGCTTTGGAGATGACGGCGGCGTGCTCGGTGTAAACCCTAAACCCTAAACCCTAAACCCTAGACCCTAAACCCTAAACCCTAAACCCTAAACCCGTTTTTTCTCGGCCAAGCGTCATGTGAGTCATCGTCATCACACTCAATGACAGGGCAGAGCAAAAGCAGCCTGATGGGCTGTTAGTATAAGGGGGGGTTTAGGGTTTAGGGTTTATAAGGGTTAAGGGTTTAGGGTTTAGGGTTTATTGGGTTCCAGAGGCTGAGATGTGGACTTTTGCTTCAGAAGGCTTTTCATGCCAGCCTAGCCAAGGAAACCCTCGTTGTCCCAACAACCCCCTAAATCCCTAAATCCCCAAACCCCTACATGCTAAATCCCTAAACCCCTAGTACCTAAATCCCTCAAGCCCCTACATACCTAAACCTTAAACTCCAAATCCTGAAATCCCTAAATCCCTAATCCCCAAGTCCGCAAATCCCCACATCCCTAACCCTAAACCCTAGATCCTTAAATCCTATATCCCTAAACCCCTCTATATTCCTATTTCCCTAGATCCTGAATCCCTAAACTCTATATTCCTAAATCCTATATCCCTAAATCCCTAAGCCCCTACTTCCTAAATCGAATACCCCTAAACCCTAAATGCTACAAATCCCTAAATCCCGAAACCCCCAAACCCTCAACCCCAAACGTAAGGTGGAGGATCCTAAACCCTAAACCCTAAACCCTAAACCCTAAACCCTAAACCCTAAACCCTAAACCCTAAACCCTAAACGTAAGGTGGAGGATCCCAGCCTTGCTATGACGGGCGACTACACTGCGCTCACAGCCCCGGGCCCAGGAGTTGAGACTTGCGAGCTGCAAGGGTTTAGGGTTTAGGGTTTAGGGTTTAGGGTTTAGGGTTTAGGGTTTTAGGGTTTTAGGGTTTTAGGGTTTTAGGGTTGTTTTAGGTTGTTAGGGTTTTCGGGTTTTAGGGATTTAGGGTTGTGGGGTTGTAGGTTTTTCGGTAGGGTTTAGAGGTTTAGGAACCCCAAGCCCTAAACCCTATATTCTGCCCGCTCCGCTTCCGACTATACTCTTACTCTGTTCTTTGATGATTGAATTCTGCTCTTTAATTATTTCTTCTCGTTTTCCATCCTATTCTGTTCGTTTCTTCTCAAAAACACTGTTTAGAGCACGTTCATACTGCGCGTAGCGGTAGCAAATTGATGCAGTTGTTGTTTATCTTCCGTTTTTCTAACTGTCAACTGCTTCGCTAGATGTTGATATGCAATGTTTTGATGAGTTGTGCTTTCATTGTGCTAGATTACTTTGTGGTTGGGGTTGCTTTTGGCTTTTCCTTCCGTGTTCGGCTTTGTAATTTCTGCAGGATCTCAGAAGAATCTGTCTTCTTCGTAGCTGAGTGAGTACACTTTACACTTTTTGGAATACGTACTATAACCCCCTATAAAACTGAAAATTTACACTTTTTGGGGGCTTATGAACTCAGCAACCAAGTCTTCGTCGGTTTGGCATTTGTAACCCTAAACCCTAAACCCTAAACATTTGTGAGGTCAGGTGCAACCAATGATGAGCTGAGGTCATGCATTTCCACCTCGTGGCCAACAGCATCAAGTTCACAGAGCGTGGCAAGGCAGGATAACCAGGTAGCAAACCCAAACCCCTAAACTCCTAAAACCCTAAACCCTATGAACCCTTTTAACCCTAAACGCTATGAACCCTATGAATCATTCAGACTCTGCCGTCGCTGTATCAAAGACCCCCGGCGCCTGGCGAAAGACGCAAGTCCCTCGACTCTAAGCCGAAAGAGCATATCTTGATGCCAACACCCACTTCACGAATTCAGCCGTTTAGGGTTTAGGGTTTAGGGTTTAGGGTTTAGGGTTTCGGGTTTAGGGTTAGGGTGCTCAGGGTTCATGCCAGGGTTGAACAGGTGAAGAGGAAGGTGTTGCACTGGATCTCCTGCTCTCAGGTACAGTGCATGTCTTGTAGGTACCCCCCACAAAAAATATGTATATATATATATATATAGATGTTTATATCTATCTATCTATCTATCTATCTATCTATATACTCAACATCTAGGCCAACCTCCCATGCGATGGGAGGCTGAGACACACAGGGTTTGCAGCCGTCATGTTATAATTATGCCACGATTCCACGATGTTACTCTAGAAATGGACAGTCTGAATTGGCGGCTGAGGGGTTTTTGTGTGCTGCAAAAAAGGTGAACTGGATGTTAAAGCGATACCTCCTGAGGCCCAGCTCTTGAGCGAACTGACACTAGGCGTTTAGACTTTAAAGGTCCTAGGGCCCAGATTAGGCCCTTATTCCTTCTGTTTGGGGTTTGGGTTCCCTTCGAAGCCCTTTTAGACCAACAAGGGAACCTTTTTTTCCTGGGTTACTCCTGGGTCTCGGGTCTTCTAGGGTTTGTAGGACTTAGGCTTTCCAGTTTCGGCTTGAAGGCTTGCGGTGTGCAGGATTTAGGGTTGAGTTAGGGTTGGACTGCCCTAAGGCTCTATAGGTCCGTATACCCTAAAACCTATAAACCCTGAAGCCCTAAACCCGAAACCCTAAACTCTAAACCCTAAACCCTGGACCCTAAACCCTAGCCCCGTCCCTTTTTTTTGGGGCCGGGGGGGGGGGGGGGGGGGTCCCTTAGACCCCTAGGGTCAACTCGATTAAGCCTCTGACGGAACCCGACCCTAAACCCTAAACCCTAAACCCTAAACCCTAAACCCTAAACCCTAAACCCTAAAAAACCCTAAACCCTAAACCCTAAACCCTAAACCCTAAACCCTAAACCCTAAACCCTAAACCCTAAACCCTAAACCCCAACCCCTAAACCCTAAACCCTGTCTCTGAAGGTGTCGGCTACGTGGAGGCGGACTGAGGAAGGCCTTTGTCTCAGCGTCCGTGATACAGGCACCCCCGGGGTTTAGGGTTTAGGGTTTAGGGTTCAGGGTTTAGGGTTTGGGGTTTAGGGTTTAGGGTTGAGGGTTGATTCGTTTCTGGTTTAGAGCAGGCGTTAGGGTTTAAGGTTTAGGGGTGCTGGTTGAGCATAGACTTGTGGTATACTTAGGGCTTAGGGCTTATTGGGCTTGAGTTATAGAGAAAGATTTGGTGTTTATATTTTTTCAGGGGCTCGAAGTTTGTTTTAGCGTTTATGGTGTAGTGTCATTTTCATTATTCTGTTGCTGTTATCCCTAAAGTCTTCGTCCTTGATCATGTGTAGTAGGCGTTTCAATTGGGGAATTTGTTTCTGAGGCTTTCGGGGTTTGCCGTGGGAACTCAACGATCCCCAAAGTGGTGATCGCACACCCTAGTATCCCTAGGAAGGTGAGACAAACCGTTTGGGGTTTCATTTTATTCCATAGGTAGGGAGGGAGTGGGTCCAGCCTTTCGGGTTTGAGGACTTGGGGGGGGGGGGGGGGGGGGGGTTTAGGGGGTTCCAGGTCGTACATGCTTCTGTGAGCCCCGAGGCTCGCCCCAGACAGTGGCCCTGGCTTGTAGACTGCCATTTGCCATCTACAACGCGCCATGTTGTTCTTGGGTTCTTGGGCGGCCAGGGCCAACAAACTCCCACAGCACATCCTGAGCCCTCTACCGGTTACGCGAGGTCCAGACGTGACGCAATATATTGGCTCAACCCTAAGCCCTTGTAAGCCCTTCGGCCCTAAGCCAGAAAGCATTCACATGAGCTGCTGAGAGGTATCGGCATAGCAACCAAAAGCATGGACCGCATCTTCGAGCCTTTCGACGTTGAGGACGGTCCCAAGATTCAGGGAGAAAGGGGTCTTGGGGCCCATCTGTGCGTTGGGGAGTTTCTGCTTGAGGTGTGGTGCTTCCTCCTCCCACTTCTTCCAGGGTTTAGGGTTTAGGGTTTAGGGTTTAGGGTTTAGGGTTTAGGGTTTAGGGTTTAGGGTTTAGGCCGGTTTAGGGTTTAGGGTTTAGGATTTAGGGTTTAGGGTTTAGGGACTTAGGCTGGCCGCGGGAACGTGTAGCCAAAGCCCTTAGAAGAACTGTCAGGTCCAGCCTAGTGAGAAGGTGGATTGGGGTGGGGGGGGGGGGGGTTACCGTATGTCTTTTGCTTTTCATGGTTTCAGCGTACCTTACAGTGGGAATGATATACCCTATGCGACTGTGATGCGTATTTAGGCATATGCACATGGATTGGGATGTTCCCCCTTATACTTACTAACACTCCTTAATAGGGATTGTAGTACCCCCTCTTGTAATCCCTATTCAGGACCGTTTGTATAAGGGGGAGTATCCCAACACATAGACTACAAACCCTTTTACGCTTCATGTGGTCCCAAACGTATAGAACTCCTCGCAGGACAAGTCGGAGTCTCGAAAGCACGAGGGCATTGGCCTGGGTCTGGCTGCGGCTCGCTGAAAACATCTCCTTACTTCTGACAGGTCGAACCCTAAACTTGGAATGTCCCCCCCCCCCCCCTGTTATAGTAACAGTCCTCAATGGGGATTATAGTAAGGGGTACTCGAATCCCTATTTAAGGACTGTAAGTATAAGAGGCAATATCCCCTAAACCCCAAACCCAGACAATCCTGAAGGCAGCTGTTTTGCTTCCATGCCCAGCACACGCAAGCTCAACATTGCTGCCCTTCGCCCCCTGAGGAGTCCTTAATCTGAGTTCAGGCATACTCCTTGATCAAGGGGCATTTTGGCCCTCCTAGTGGCCTGCACACCCTACACCCCGCAAAATCAGGGTAGCCGACCAGAAGCCCGCTATATTGCTGCATAACACATAAGTTTTTTACTCTCAAGAGGACCGAACTATCAGTCAGGTCTTTCACCGCGTATCCGTACTCGACACGATAACGCTGGTGTAGCCCTCAAGCCAACCAAGGGAGACACGACAGTTTTTTCCGGCAACCCAAAAACGGCAGGCAAAGGCTTAAAGGAAGCTACAGGCAAACCCTACACCCTAAATCCTAAACCCGAAACCCTAAACCCTAAACCCTGCTTAGCAGGCCTAAAACCTAAGCCCGAAACTTGAAATGTGCAAGGTAGTTCGGGAAATCGCGCGGCTACATCGGGCCAGGCTTTTCGTGAAGAGCACCAAGGGAGCCGCTCGAGCTAATCCTTAAGGCTAAGCCCTGAACACTTCAGGCTTGAAGGCTACGTATATTATATCTGGGGGTGTAGGGCAGTTGAGAGGAACTAAGCCACAAGGTCTTTGGGGAGGTTCAGAGCTTTGGGTTTTGGTGTCTTGTGGGGGGGGGGGGGGGGAGACTGTTGTAGGGATAGGTGTTCAGGGGTTTAGGTCTTCGTGGCTGCTTCAAAGTGTGTTTGGTGGACCTAAAGTGAGGGCTTCCGAAAATCGGGGTGGGCTCCATAAGGGTTATAGTTGATTATAGTATTTCGGAATATACACGGGATACCCTTGTTTGGGGAAATGCCTAAATACGTACGCAGAGTGTTCTTGGGGCTGAGGTGGCTGAGGTGAAGCCGCAGCCCGTTTCGGAGAGCTGCCTGGGGCTGGGGTTCATGGGTTTAGGGTTTAGGGTTTTGGGGTTTGGGGTTTGGGGTTTGGGGTTTGGGGTTTGGCTAACACCCTAAATCCCTTAACCCTAAACCCTAAACCCCTAAACCCTAAACCCAGGAACCTTCCGGGCTGGCCCACGACCCACCAGGGAGGCTTCCTTTCCCAAAAGCCGCCGCTCAGGAGGGATCTGAATTCCAGGTCCTCTTCCCCGAGGAGGCCATCATAGATGCAGCCGGCGCCACTGCCCCAGGGTTTCGTATGTAGAGTGTTTAGGGTTTAGGGTTTAGAGTTTAGGGTTTAGGGTTTAGGGTTTAGGGTATGGGCCCTTCACACAGGGAGATGTAATGTATCCAGATACTTTAAAAGGTAAATCCTGAGTCCAAACAACCTCAAGACATGCGAAACCCCACAAACACTAAACCCTCGTGCGTTGCTCCAGGAAGAACCCCCCCCCTCCCCCCGTCCCTAAATTGTATATCCATCACTTACAATGTGCCCCTCGCCCATTGACCGCCCGTAAAGGCACCGGTTTAGGGTGTAGGGTTTAGGGTTTTTAGGGTTTAAAAAGAAGGCAAGCTCGCCAAAACCCCCCACAACTCCGGACCCAAACCTTGCTACAACTTCTATACACTGCCAACCCTAACCCTAAACCCCAAAAGCGCACTCTGGTACCTGAAGCCCCCGCAAGGTCTGACTCGAAAGCCCGAAGGTTTAAGGGATTTGGGGTTTATAAGGTTTGGGGTTTTGTTGAGGGTTCAGGGTTCAGGGATCAGGGTTCAGGGTTCAGGGTTCAGGGTTTAGGGTCTATAGGGTCTAGGGGCTAGGGTGTAGGTTAGGGTCTAGGGTTTGGGGTTCAGGGTCCGGATTTGTGGTTTGGCTTTAGTATGGCGTGTAGGCTGAAGAGTCTTGCTCCAAGAGACTCATCGGGCGCATCGTGCTGTGCGATTTGCTGTTGAGGCCTCCTTTTAAGGCTCAGGGTTAGGCCTAAACTCGCGCCAGCCGTTGTTCCAGAACTTTGGAGGGACTTCCAGTACTTTCCTTTGTGGTGCTTTACTGTAACTCTAGATCCTTAGCCTTTTTGGGTTTATTGGGTTTCCTAGTAAGGCAGCTTTGATTTATAGCTGACCCTCCTAAGTGCCAAGTTTCGGGGGGCCTTTCGAACCCTAAACCCTAAACCCTAAGCCCTAAACCCTGGGGGGCTTTTCTTACGGCTTCCGGGATCGTGGTACCCCACACTGTGGGACTGTGGGAGGCAGGTGAACGCCGGCCTAAGCCTTAAGTAGGGGTTTAGGGTTTAGGGTTCAGGGTTCAGGGTTCAGGGTTCAGGGTCGAGGCTCTCAAGTGGCGCTGGAGGGGCAGAGGAGCCTTTGATTGGCTCAGGGTTTATGTGGTTAGAGGATGTTAGACGTAGGGTTTGCTCCCCGAAGATTGCAGCCAGAGCTCTAGTTGCTGCACAAAAAAGACCTATGAACCAACAAGTAGATCCACGAGCCCTGAAGCCCAAATCCTAAACCCTAAACCCTAACCCCTAAACCCCGGAGACGCCCAGGTTAAGACTCGGCCTGCACCAGGGTTGCCGGGAAGGCCTTCCTGGGCGGGAGGGTTTAGGGTTTAGGGTTTAGGGTTTGGGGTTTCGGGTTTAGGGTTTAGGTTTGGGGTTTGGGGTTGTTGCTCAGAGGGTATCGGTTTAAAGTTGCGGTTCAGGATTCGCCAGTGCAGCAGGCTTAGTACATGGACACACAGAATGAGTCGTAAACAAACAGCGCCGTTGGTCGGCGGGTAGCACATTCAGCACCTTCTAAGAAGGACTAAAAACCGTTGCAGCATCTGCAACATACTTTCAAAAGCCCACTTTGCATCTCTAGGTTTACATTATCTTGTACTGAGGCGAAGTCGAACTCCAAGTATATGTACCATTCAAGTACACCTCAAAGCCATGAGGGCCCCATTTGGGGCGTCCAAAAACGATGGGTGCCCTTTGCTCCTGGGTATAGCAGGGCGCCCTTTCTTAGGGCTTTTCTGGTAAGACAACACCACACGCTGTGCAGGGTGAGAGCCCGCAATGGCCGGCGCCTGTCGACCGGCTGAGCCGGGAGCTTGGCAGGAGAGAACCTATGGTCAAAGGAGCTGGAGAGTTTCAGGGTCCTCTTTGTCAACTTGGAGCTATAATCAGGGAACTGTAGGTATGGCTGCTTATCCCCGTACGGCGTGCCTACGAACCTACCTCTCGCAACGGCCCGCGAACCTTCAAGTGTGGCTGCCTAAGGGTTCTTGTACCTACATGGCCTTATGGTTTGTGGGAGTTAGTAGGATTCCCTTATCAAAAGGACCCCAACAAGGTGCCCTTAAGTTCGGAAACCCCCAGAAAACTTGCGACCATAAGCTGCTACTTGGAGGTTCATGGCACTTATTAACCAATTATAACTGTACTTATAACCCACTTATAAGCCCCTTAAGTGCCCTAATATGGTGATAAGTACAGTTATAAGTACAGTTCTAATTGGTTAATAAGTACCATGAACCTGCAAGTAGAGCTCTGGACCCGCAGGGAAGGAGCCCAACAGACCTCCCACCTGTCGCGGAGATCCTTGCACAACCACAGACCCCACATGCCCGAGAGTTCCTAGAGCCGTGGAAATACGAACTCATGAAGTGCCCCTATAGAGTACTCCACGAAATTTTGCGAGCCTCGGCCTATAGAAAGGTTCGCAGGCTTGGCTCAGATTTGGTATCCGAAACCCTGAACCCCAAAGCCTAAACCCTAAACCCTAAACCGATTTGTGTGGTAGGGCGTTGGAGCTTTGAGGATTGATGGTTTCATGGGGGTTTCGGGTGGCAGCCTGCTGGAGGTCGGGTTTTAGGTTTCAGGGCTTTAGGCTTCAGGGTTTAGGGTTCAGGGTTTAGTGTTTAAAGAATAGCTCCATCTCTGCAGAGGCGGTGATCGTCACGTAGGATTAGGGAGCAGATGGCTTTTTCTGGAACATGGAGCAGTCCATTTTAGGGTTTAGGGTGTTTAGGGTTTAGGGTTTAGGGTTGCTTTGCAACCTAAGCCCTAAACCGTAAGCCCAAGCGCCTCAACCCTCAACCCTTCGATGCTCGGACCCGCCAGGCACCAATCATCCGCAATGGGATGCCTGCTTCAACTTGTCGGCACCTAAACCCTCAACCCTAAACCCTAAACCCTAAAATAACCCTAAACCCTAAACCCTAAACTTCAGGTTTATTTTGGGCTCCGGGTTCACGGTCCAATTGTAGAATTTCGGGCGAAGCCGACACTTCTCTTGGACATCGTTTTTCTAGGCTCCTGATGTCCCGCGTGTGGTCGAGCAAGCCCAGCATAAATAAATAAATATTTATATACATATACATATACATATACATATACATATATATATATACATACACATACACATACACATATACATATATATATATATACATGGCCGCCGCCGCCCCCCCCCCCCCCCCCCCCCAATGGACCAACCTCGATATGTGAAAGCTCCTGTAGGCACTGTCTGCTCTGATGTGTTCCCGGGCTTAGATCTTTCGTACGTATCATTCAATCGTTTTGCCTTGTTTTTGCCCTTCTCGTGTTTGTTTTGCACATTTTTTTGGTTCTTTTTGCACTTTTGCACTTGTCTTTACTCTTTTGCACTTTTGCACTTTTTTGGCTTTTTGCACTTTTGCATTGTTTTCATATACTGTCTTCTTTTCTACGCTTGTCGTATGCATAGAAAATCCAACATCCAAAGATCCAAAGATCCAAAAACCCAGAAATCCAAACTTGCTCGGACAATGTCTCCGGAAAGTTTGGATTTTGGATTTTTGTTTTTTTGGGTTTTTGGATTTTTGGTTGTTGGTGATTTTGCACATTCCAGGTTGGCCCATA